TCTAAGTGCCATGAAGACATTTCCATAGCAAGAGCATCAATGTGTTAAAGGATTAGACAATTGAAATGGCAGTTTCTTATTCAAAAGGAACTTCTGTAGGCATATAATCACAAAAATAGAGGCTTATATACATGTTGCTGGGTTGAGGACACTTTCTTTGATTAAATGTTTCTTTTTTTTAAATTTGTTTTCTTAAGATCAAGTAGATCTGCCTAGTACAGATATGATTTTTCATGAGTGGATTAAGAGTGGGAAAAATTAACCTTCCATTTAGGCTCCCAATTCCTCAAGAAAGTATTTTACAAATCTCTTGCCAATGTGATTATGGTGATGGTACAAATTTCTTAGAAATGGTTTATATGAGGAATGAGACCCATATACTTTCTGAATTATTTTAGCATCATTCCTTTGTGATGAGTGAGAGCTCATTCATAAAGAAGTGGGTTATCATGTATAACATTTTTTTCTATTTGGATTAGTAGTCTTTGTTTCTTTTATTTATTTTTATTGGTGTATTATAACTCTACATGACAGAGGAATTCATTTTGCAATATTCATATATGCACATAATTTGATCAATCTTGTACCTTCCTTTTCTTTCCCCTCCTCTCCCCTCCCCCCAATCTACTTGATCTACTCCACTGATCTCCTATTATTGTTGTTGTTTTAATCTGTGCACTATTCTATGTATATTAAATTCACTGTAGTATATTAGCACATAGATATAGCAGAATTTTGTAGGCTTTATTCCTCAGTACTTTTCCATGCCCTTCTCTTCTCCCTCCTTCTCAATCCCCTTCCTCTACTCTATTTGTGTTCCTTCTATTTTTGAGAGATTTCCCCTGCCTTTTTGTATAATATGTGTAACATTTGCAAATACATGCTGGATTCAAAAACTATGGCAAAAGACATTGTGAGAAAAATTTTAGAAGCTCCATACCACAACCATAGCTGGCTTAGATCTCTTACTCATTGGAGTAAAATCCCATTGCTCTGCAATCCTGTCGCCTGCTACACAACATTCCTGGGTAAAAACCTGACATCAGGTGATGTGAACTAAGTGACAATCCAAATTTCATCCTACAGAATTATAAATTATCTACTTAAAGTGGTTCTTATAAAATCTGTGTTCTGGAGCTGCATTGTACAGGCTCAGTGGTAGAGCACTTGCCTAGCATGTGTGAGGCCTTGGGTTCAATTCCCAGCACTGCATATAAATAAATAAAATAAAGGTCCATTGACAACTAATAAATAAATAAATAAAATACAATAAAATCTGTGTTCTGCTTCTTAGATGTGAACAGTTAATACTGGGAACCTCCACAACCTATTCATGGCTTATTACAGCTAAAATAACCTACATATTTTATGGACCATCAACAGGGGTTACTTTTGATAAAAACTCTCTACTTGATATGAAGCACAGATACTTATTTATTTTTATTTCTTTGAATCAGAATCTTTTCTTTTTTTCCTAGAAAGTGATACAATCTCTCTAGGTACGAACTTTTCTTGATTTTTGTCATCCCAATTTGTTCTAGACCAAATGAATTTTAAAGGCAAAAATATAAGAAGCCAATGAAACAAACTACTCAAACTTGATGACTTTAAGTTGAGAGTATAAAAAATGTCCACTGTATTAGTTACTCAGGTTTTTGAGCTGATTTCAAATTTTTTTCAAAATGAAAAGTTGGTGGGGAAAAGTAGTTGTTCTTACTGGACTTTATCATGAACGGCACACAGCTAATTTCATAAAAGAAATTCCCACAATTAACAATTTGGAGAAACCTAATATAGCTCTGAAATATAAGTAGTGATGATCTCATCCAGCAGCTAGAAACGTAAACCTATGAAACAGCAACTAATAACGCTAGTGAAAATATATTATCAGTATCCCCATAAGCTCCCCAACTGTCCTTGGGGAAGAAACAGCTGTGAGAGCCCTAATCCTGGCTCCAAAGACACTTAGGAACACAGATCTCTGCTGTAGGAGCCTTTGTTCTGCTTCCAGCCGGATAAATGGAAAGCCTTTCAGCATGACTTCCAAGAAGCAGACAGATGGAGAGAAAACTCTACAATGTGCTCTCAAGCTGACTTCCTGGGGATTTACTCAGGAGTTCCCAGGTGGAAGCCAAATGAAAATATGTGTTGGTCACCCATTCACACAGTGGATTTACCCCTTCACCAACTCTCGCCTTTTCTTTTTGACTATTATTCATATCTCACCTTGGTCACTAGAGGTCATTCATTAATTCATACATTCAATCAATGAGTCTTGCTCTCAGCTATGGATAAGGCACTGAGGAGTCCTTGCTCACTCAAAAAGACTGCCCTGAACAAGAAGGACAGAGATTCCCCGCCCTGATTGCACATGAAAATCAACAGGGAAACTTGATAAAATTGTAGATGCCCAGGGCCTTATATCCACAGATTCTGATTTAGTAGGTGTGTAATGGAATGTCTGTATTTTTAAATAGCTTTGTAGGTAAGTTTGGTGAGTGATTAGTGATAAGATCCACTGAGGCAGCTGTAAGCCAACTCAGCTGAGATCCTTTATTAGCACAAAGACTGCCTCAGTGGAAAGACACTTTCAATTGCTAAAACCACAAGGTTTAGAATCAGACTCTGTAGAAATGATATAAGAGATCATACATATAGCTCTGCTCCAAAATCTGCCCCCCACTGCCTCCCACCACGCAAACTCGCATATCCACAACTCTAGATTCCCAGCACACTGGATCAGAGTCTAGGGCTTCAAGCTGCTCATGTTCTTTGGTTGTAGGAATTTCACACTTCCCATGCCCAAACAGAACTTCTATCTCTCCCCCAACAAACCTACTTCTCCCTTAGTCATCCCTATATCAACAAAAAGCCATCTGCATTCATGTAGTGATTTAAGCTGGAAAACTGGAAGTCTTCTTACTTCTTCCTGCAAACATATCTCACTCAGATCCATCTATCTCCACTGTCTCCACCATCGTTCTCTCTCACCCAGTTTGGGATGATAGCCTTCTGCCTAATATCCTCATGTCCTCACCTTCTTCTAATCCACCCTCCACTAGAAGTTACCTTTTTGAAATACAAATCAGGATATGTCACTCTTACTTAAAATCCTTCAGCTAGGTTTCATTGCATATTGAGTAAAAGCCAAATTCCTCAGTGAAGACTGATTGGTATTCTGTGAAACAACTTTTGCCTACCTCAGCGTCACTTTCGATTAATACTCTTCAGTCAGACTGAACTGCCTTTCAGTTCCTCAAATCAGTAAGTGATTTCCCATCTCAAAGTCTTAATACACACTGTTCCCCCTCCCTGGACATGCTCTTCTCTACTTCTTTATTGAACCAACTCCTCCTCGTCTCTTAAGTGTCTGTTAAAATGTCCTTTCCTCTGTGAGGACTTTCTTTATCCCAGATTTTAAAAGGGAATTTCTTTGTTCCTTGTTTATGACATGTACATGTTATGATTTGAATTGTATCCCACCTCCGAAAAAAATGGAAGGTTGAATCCTTACCCCTAGTGCCTTAGAAGATAATCTTGTTTGAAGACAGGACCTTTGCAAAAGTAGTCAAGTTAAAATGAGGTCATTAGGCTGGGGATGTAGCTCAGTGATAGAGCACTTGCCTAGCATGCTCAGGCCCTGGGTTCAATCCCAAGTACCACACACACTCACACAAAAAAAGAGTTTAGTATGGGGCCTAATCCAATATGACAGATGTGAGAAGAGGAAATTTGAACACAGATACACATAGAAGGAAGAGAATGTGACAAGACGTGGGGAGAAGAGAGTCACTTATAAGTCAAGGAGAGAAGCTTGGAACAGACTATTCCTCACAATTCTCAGAAGGAAGAAAACCTGCCAATAACTTGACATTTGACAACAAGCCTCCAGAACAGAGAAAGAATAATTTCTGTTCCTTCAGCCACCCAGTATGTGGTACTGTTACATCAGCCTTAACAAAATAATATATTATCCGTCTATGTCATAATATTTATCACAATTTTAAATTGCATGTGTGTTCATTTGTTTAATGTTAGCCTCTTTCACCAGATGATAATCTTCATAATGACAGGAACTGCATCTGTGTTTGCTCATTTATTTAACATTATTACCAACCATTGCACTATGTGCTGTCCCAAGAAAGGCCAGTGTTCACCAAAAGCAGAGAGGAAGTTATGACATCAAGAACATATGTTGGATGGTCTAGAACAGATTTAAGAAAACTACAGTCCCTGGTCCAAATCTGGCCCACACTCTGTTTCCATTAGACACATGAGCTGGAGTTTTCACATTTTACACAATTAGGAAAAAATATTTAGTGATATGTGAACATTACATGAAATTAAAAATTTAGGTTCATAAATAAAGTTGTATTGAAATATAGACACATTCAATTACACATTGTCTACACATGCCTTCATGCTACTAAGGAGAGTTACGTAATTGTGACAAGAATCACGTTGCCTAAAATATTCACTATTTGGCTAATTTTAGAAAAAGGAACCTGCTGGGCACTGGTCTAGAACATGGTTTATGAGCTACAAACTGGCCAGGGGTGCTTAACTTCCAGGTGACATAATGCTATAGCTCACATCCTGGCGCATTTGGTGTTCTAGAATGTCATTATGACACAAAGTAACCAGCATGTGCACCTGTTTTCCACCCAAACGACATTATAGACTACTGAAAAATTCTTCTCCCTAAGAGAACATAGTTCTGGTTTTATTAATAAAAATAATGAAAAATTATTTACTGATTACAAATTTTCAATTTCCTTGGAACTTTGATAGAAAGTATGTTCTCATAAAAAGTGTGAAAGTAAATGGAATGGGTCATGATTATCATTGCCAGATACACAAATTTATCGACCCAAAATTAACCTACTACCATAGAAGTCAATGCTTAGATATAAGTCTATTTAGTACAGGTGGATTTAAAAAATAAGGACAAAACATGGGAGTGGGCCTCATGTTCATATTCACAGGAAAGTACCATTTACCTTTGGTGGAGGAATGAACCGAACACATTCCAGCCATATGGATAAAAAATATTTTCCACATATTGGACATTTTTTTCCCTGAGAGATTAAGTTCCTGACCTCTGGATACTGTTCAATAGCACACATTAGGAAAGGATGCTTTTTTGCTAGCTGATTCATGACATATCTTGATGTTATTTCCTAAATTAAAAAAAGAAGAATATGGTTTCTAAAATTGTTTTTTTTAAATCTTACATTACATTGATTCCCATTTTACTAATTCAAATTTCTTATTCCTAAGTTTTTGTTAAATGAAGATTCTTCAGTATAATGAATTAGGTTGTAAAGGACTGACATTGTAAATAAGTTTGGTTTTAATTAATATAAGTAAGTTGCTTCCATGGTAATACATTTATGTCTCCCGCATACAGGAATCAAAGTTACAATAAATTTGCACTACCTGTTTAATAAAGTAATATATAGTTTAGGCTCAAATTTGGTATATTTCATTTCAGTAAGCAGGACTGCACAAACATTCTGACTGACTCAAAAATTGAGTGTGTCATATTCACTAAGGTCTAAATAATTTTTATAATCATGGCTTACAAGCCAGTATCATCTTCATCAATTAGCAGCTTATCGGGAATGAAGAATCCTGACTATAAACCAGTAGTACGGAATCAAAATCTCAACAAAGCGCCCCAGTAATCTGTGTGCATATTAAAGTTTAAGAAGGGCTGTTTTAAATGATTAGCCGTATTAAGTACCTGAATATGCCACCTTGTTCAAGAGCAATAATCTCTATGAACTAAATCTCTGAATTCAACCTCTGTTAGACCTGGTTACATAGGTGTTCAACTGATTTGTGCAATCATAATATTATAATATTAAATTATAATAGAGGTAGTGAGGAAATGGAAGTTGCCTTTCGCCAGGGCCGTCAGCAACATATCATCCTAAAGTAAAAGTATATAATATATAATATGTAAAATCAAACCTTCACTAAGAACACAAACATTTGCCTCACTCCCTAAATGTTTGCCCATTGTCTATGCCAGTAGCACAGAAGTCCTGTATAATGTAACACAAACACTGCTTGAAATGCTAATGGTATATGGGCATAGTTTACTTGGGACACTTTTTTTCCTAGCCAAACTGAAAGAATTCCCAAGAGGATAAGAATAGTCCACATCAGGCTCTCATAGGAATCTTTGGGAATATATGCACGCGTGCATACATACATAATCTTTCACTCATTAACCCCAATTAAAATCTTTAAAATTTTTTAAATAAAAACAAACTCCTACAAATTCCTACAGCCCTGTTCCCTGTTACCTTATCCCTCCCAGTTAACAAGAGACTTTATGCTGCAAACAACCCTGAGTGTGTGTTCCTTAAATGTCTGGTCCTTCAATAGCACAACCTCCTACCGGATTCAGCTCATTCTCCTGGGTGGTTATAGGACTGAGGTCAGCTGAAAGAATGAATCTGAAAGCACTAATATTACCAGGACTCCTAATTCAGATGTCCAATGCCCCCCTTTTTCAAACTATGTAAGCAGAGCCTAGCTGGTGTTTCTAAATGAAATACATTGTTAGCTACATGAATTCAGTGGCTAGGTCTCACTATAAAGCTGAAGAAAATTCATGGGTAAGTATTCATCACCCCTAAATAGAATTTGTTGAAATGCATGAGACCTATAAATAGGTTCGTATAGATCACTTTTCCCCTTCATGATTGCTGGACCCAAACATATTTGTTGCACTCAGTATATCTTGACAATTCTGACATCAACCTTTCTTTATATTCTTCTATTTGCTGCCAATGTGTTACTTTGGAGGAATAAATGTACACCATTAAAATATAAAGTAAAGCTATTACCTGGAAATGCAAGTATATATAAAGTAAAATACTATTTACCTGAACAATAGTACCTTTTAGAACACCTCTGAGAGATACATTCAATGCAATTTTTTTTTGGCAGTAAACAATTTAGTAATGGCCCAAGAACAGGATTATTAAAAATTAGGAAATCTTTTAAAGGCAAATAAATTGTTCATTTTGAATAGCTTATATGTTATTATTAGAATATTTGTAAGCCAACTTATGCAGGTCAGTTATTCCTATTTCTAATTCATCATAAATTGGAATTATTTTCATGGGAATTATTTTATTTTTCCTTACATGTGATTATTTCATTTATGTTATGAAATTATACATCTATGATTTGTACTTATATAAGCATAAAAAATTTTAAATGTAGAAACAAATATGAAACCTTAGAAGAAATGATAGGCTTTGTAACTATTTCAAAAATAGCTGTCATGTTGTATATGAGAGGCACTAAGGAATTTAAGAAGAATTCACTGTCAGATTCAAAGAGATACAGGGGTTCAATCCTGGCTCTGGGATTTATAAGCTTTGAACCCTATTTGGACAAGCCTTTAACTTCTCTGATTTTGTATCCCTCCTTTTAAAAATAAGGATTTTTCCAATGCCATCACATAAAGTTTTGAGAATTCAATCAGCTAATACTGGTAAAACAGTATCGCAGGTATAATACAATATATTCTAGTTAATATTTTGTTATAACTTAGTTATGAACATTCAATTTTAGCTTACCTATCTATCTCTGAGATGAAGAAGTTTTAAAAATTCTCTACCAAGTCATGACTATTTCAAAACTATAATGTTTTGACACCCAAAGGAGGGAGTTTAATCAGTAACATTAACCAAAAATCTAGTCAAAATGACTGTGACTTTAAGTACAAATATAAAATTTATAATTAATTTAAGTCATCTTTCTAAGAAAAATTCTTGGAGATTTTTTTAAAATACCAAAATATTTCACATACTGCAAGAAAATAGTAATTCTTATGAATATAAGTATATATTTATATTATATATTACACGTGATACTTTTTGTGTGCATATAAAATTAGCTCTTGTGCTTCTGGACTTTATAGTTTTGAAAATTAGAAAAAAAATATATTGCTGTCATCCTGAGTGTTGGCAACGTTCTTGCCCTTGAAGTCTGTCTGAGAGATTGCTGCCATATTGGGTTACCTGGTCATCCAGCCTTCTTCACAAATCAGAATCTCCTCAGACCAGGAATACCCAGTCTCCATTTTCCTCACCTTCCTTCATCCAATTTCTGAGGCAATATTGCAGTAGAAGTTTAATGTTCAATTCTTTAACCTGATATCAGTGTCCAAACACTGTTTCTGTGACCTTGAACAGGTTATATAACCTTTCTGGGTCTGTTTCTCTATAAAAAGGGGACCATAATAGCTCCTATCTTTCCAGTGTTATTAAAAAACTGCATTATCCATTCCTGTTAAATACTTAGAACACTTAAATTCCTGCCTTATTACAAGGAAGCATAAATAAGTGTTAGCTGCTGATATTTGGAAATATTCTATACTATTCTGATGCAGGAGGAAAAATGGGTTGTAAGGAATTAAATAAATTGAAAGCTACAATTTTTCAATGATTTAGGATTGAATTTCAAAAGTGAGTATTTTTTCCACACAACAGTAGGAAATAATATTATTTATAGACATATTCTCTAAAAGGAAAATTTGAAAAGAACTAATCTGTAAAAGAATCCAAATCTTTGCCCCACCAATTTCATTCATGGAGATATGGACATGAGCTAGACATTTACTGTGGTCATTGTTGCCTTAGACAATATAAAATATAAAAACCAAAAAGCCAAAACTTATTAATAATTCAAATAGGCGGAAATAGTTGAAATGTTATATGACATTACAGAATATCATATTTCTATCAAAAAAGGTGTCAATCTCTTTTCCTGACTGGAAAAAATTCACAATACTTTAAGTGAAAAAAACAAGTTTAATGTATAGAGTTTGAATTCATCTTTGATTTAAAACACATCTGTATGCATAGGAAGTTTCTAGAACAATAATGTCATAGAGAAGAGTGGTTATATCTATGCACACTACAATTCTGAGTATTTTTTATCAGTTTCTAATTTCTCTACTCATGGTAAGAATCTTCCCAAAGCAGTATATTATAACTAATTTTTAGTTTCTTCTTTGTCCATCTGTATTTTCTAGTGTTCAGTAATTAGTATGTATGACTTATACAAAAAGGGGGGAAATGTATTTTAAAACAAATTAAGCCATTAAAAAGGGTTGGTTGTTTCCTACAACAGGAAATGTGAACCCTATACAATTCCTGAAACTCTTATGACAACCTTACATGCTCAGCTAAGACCTAAATGGATCTGGGAGAAGTCCAAATTCATGATACCCAAATATGGGAGGATTTGCAATCTGTAACTTGTCAATTATGAATGCAATGCTTTACTATGCTTTCCTATTTCTTTTTTTAATATCACCAATGAGGGGCTTGGTATGGTGACACATGCCTGTAATCCCAGCAACTTAAGAAGCTGAGGCAGGAGGTTCACAAGCTCAAGGCCAGTCTCAGTAACTCAGTGAAGCCTTCCACAACTTTGCAAGACCCTGTCTCAAAAAATAAAAATGTCTGGGGATGTGACTCAGTGTTTACATCTTCCTCTCCCCCTGCCCCCAGCTTTACTTACAAGTACAAAAAAAAATCATCTTGTTTTACTAAAGTAAACATGAGTTCTGGATCATATTCATTCAGTCAGTAGGATTGGAGACAAATAAAAAGGAGATAGAAGAGGTAAAGACCCCACTAAAACAAATCAAATGCATCTTTAGATGATACAGGAAAAAGTACTTAGAAGGCCAAAGTGAAAATAAAGTCCACTCTTTTGTTCCAACAAAATATTTCCATTTCTCTGTGTTTAGTCACTCTGGAAATCAGATAGGATTACATTGGATTTTGTAAGCAAGTCAAAAAATTATGTGTAGGATTCACATTGCCAATGGTCTTATGTTACATTAATCATTTGTTGGCTTGGCCAGAACACTTTAAAAGAAAGACCTTTTGAACTTTAAACCATGGCTTTAGTTTGAAGACTTATGTGAATGAAGTAAACCTTCACCTGTAAACTCCAGATGTCCTCTTGTTGCAGAGCAATGGCTGGCCGCTTCACGAAAAGTGGGTTTTCCTCACAGTAGAATTCCTTCAGCTTCAGATTCTGAAACTTTTAAAACAAAATAACAACAAAATGACAGATGTCCCCACCAAAGCTACATTTTCAATAAAATTAGACTAGAATTATTTAAGGCATTCTAAATTAATATTTTTTAAATGGGACATCTTCTAGAAGATGTCATTACAAGTATAAGAATTTTAATGCTGGCATGAATGGGCAGGATCTTAAAGGTCCCTCAGTATGGTCACATCCCCCATGTTGAGTGGCTGAGAACATGCTGAGGGTCACAGAACCGATCAGTGCTAGAAAGGGGTTTAATAACACAAATGCTGGGAACATTTTGGAAATACATGTTAGGAAACCAAGCATGATGAAAAATATTCTGAAATGCAGCATACTCCAAATTTCAAAGCTTGTCTTAGCATCCATGTATGTCCAGTGAAGAGCCCAAGAACTTATGTAGTTTTAAAAGTTAAACTTGTTCAAGGAATTACAGCTCTGAACCTGAATTCTGCAATAAAATGAGGACAATAAAATGAAGATAAGACTGAACCTATCTTCAGTGTTATGCTGATCAACAAGTTCCCTGGGAGAAAGAAAGATTAAATGAGAAAGGAAAAGGAGGAAAGAAGGGAAGAAAGCAAGAAGGAAAGAAGAGAAGAAAGCAAGAAGGGAAGAAGAAAGAAATACCCTGAACACACAGTTGGAAAGACATATCCAAAATCTACTCTTGTGAGCCAAGGTAAGTTGGCTCTGACACAATGCAGCATCTCACAAAATTTATGGGAGAATTAGATTTCTGCGATTTCAGCCCAGGATTTGAAAGATAGCAAGCACTCAACAAATTATAAACAACTGATTTAAAACATCATTCCAGGGCACCATGTCATTAGGTTTCAAAAGTTACAGTAAAGCTTGTACAACATAGAAAAGACTTCTAAATAAAAAAGCCAGCTCAAGGCCTCTTTAGTATCATATTTAGTCCTGGTTTCACCAGGGGCATTCATTCTAACTTTCTTAATGCAGTCTCCCGTGATATCCCACTCCAGGAAACAATCTAGAGAGTTGAATCCAAAGGCAGCCATACTTAAATGCGGGTTACTAAAATTAAAAGGGATACTTCCAGCACTTAATGTTATACACAACCAATTTTTTTCCTCCTTGTCTTAATCAGTAGCATTCCATAATTTGTACCTAAACTCACAAAGATTAAAAGATGAGCATCTTTGATATGTAAATAGGATCAATATATGTAAACCCCAATAAATTTGACCCCAGTTCAGAGGACACGCATTTCTCTTTACAGTCATGTTTTCTTCCTTCAGGTCCTTTCACTATTATTCCATCAAGCATAATAAAAAGAATTCTCCAGCTTGTAATTCAATACAAATACTATCTGAAAGAAGTTACCTTAATGGAAAATCAATAATGCATATCTTGCCAAAGGTATGTTTCAATAACCTAAAGTCACACTTTTTCGGGTTAGATATGAGGTGTCCCCCACAAGCTCACATGTGAGACAATGCAAGCAAGTTTAGAATTAAAATGCTTGGATTATAAAAGATTTAACCTAATCAGTACATTAATCCCCTAATAGGGATTAACTGGGTGAAAACTGGTGTTACTGGAGAAGGTGGGTGGGTCGTTGGGGGCAGGCCTTTGGGGTTTATATTTTGTCTTTGTTGAGCATAGTATTTTCCTTCCCTCTTTCTCTCTCCTACTCTTTCTCTCCTTCTCTCCCTCCCCCCACCTTTCCTCGTTCTCTCTCTCTCTCTCTCTCTCTCTCTCTCTCTCTCTCTCTCTCTCTCCCCCCCCTTCTTCCCTTCCTCCCTCCTTCCTTTTGAGATGTCCTTAGCTGCTTTTCTCCATCACACTCTTCCACAGATATTCTGCCTCACCTCAGGCCCTGAGGAATGGAGTCGGCTGTCTATGGACTGAGACCTTTGAAACCATTAGCCCTCAAATAAACTTTCCCTCCTCAAAATTATTCGTGTCAGGTCTTTTAGCCACAGTGACAAAACAGCTGACTAAAACCCACATGGATCTCTTGATGACCACTCTGAATATTACCAGGATGTGAAATTCACGTCCTCTCTCTTTAGAAATATTGAGTTTCCTGTCAACATAGCTTCTGAAGAAAACAAAATTATTTGTTATCGTGGTCACTCCAGTAGTAAAATCAGCTACATTCTCCCCTGATAATGAAATGTTCCCAAGGTCTGTTCAGAGTCTCAGTGCACGCCTGTTTAAACAGCCAGTGTTATGAGTTTAGTCTCAATTGAGATGATTTTGCACACATACACCCTGCAGTGTCGGCAGACATTTTGTTTGTCACAGCTGGTAGGGGGAGTGCTCCTGGCATCTAGTTGTTAAAGACCAGGGATGCTGCTAACATCCCTTGAGTACACAGTGCCCCAACAAGTATTATCAAACCCAAAATATCAATAGTGCTGAAGTTGTGAAATTTGGTTTAAAGGCAGAAGAGCATAAAAAGACACTGACCCATCTGATTTGGAGAAGGAATTGGCAGCTCAAGGATGGATTCAAATTCAATTGAGGGTTTTCCTTTTTTTTTTTTTTTTAAGAAGTCTTGAGCATGGAGAAGGTAAGTGTTGTGGTTAAGATATGAGATTTCCCTCAAAAGCCCCTGTGTTAATGCAGGAATATTCGTAGGTAAAATGATTGAATTGTGAAAGCTGTGACCTAATCAGTCCATCTTAGCTTGAATGGACTGACTGGTGGTAAGTATAGGTAGGTGAGATATCACTGGAGGAGGTAAGTAACTAGGGGTGTACCCTGGAAGGATACATCTTTCCATCAGCCTCTACCCCTCTATTTGCTTCCTGGCCACAATGAAGTGAGCAGTACTCCTCTGTCATGCCTTTCTTCCATGATTTTGTGCCTCACCTATGGCCCAGAGCAATGGACTCAACAAACCATGAACTGAACCTCTGAAACTGTGACCCCAAAGAAGCTTTCCCTTCTCTACACTGTTCTTGTCAAGTACTTTGGTCATAGCAAATGCAAAACTGACAGTAAATGACAATATACACAAGATTAATGTAGCAGAGAAAGAAGGAATCGCTGAAAGAGAAATGATCAAGTCAAGAACACAGACTGATTTTTGAATATTAACATCTTTTAGTTATGTTCTTCTCTGTGGCCAGAGGAAAGAACGTGTAAAAGTTCCCATGGATACCTTTGAAGGAGTGGTATATTGTATGTTGAAGGAGTCCAATATGATTCCTTCTATTTTGTCTTTGAAATGGAAAGACTATCAGTCAAGTTTTGCAGCATGGTGTTAGTGTGGAAAGAGTCAAAAGTGGTGAAGATCTGAACATGCTATAGGATTCAGAAGAGGAATCTAGATAGGGTAGATAGGGATATGCAGACATTTGACACATAATTGCTGAGGAACCTACTGAATCCACACATTAGTGGTGGTCCCTGTCTGCATAATTGTCACTTCCCCTTAGCACCTAGTATCCCAGATCCAACATTTAGAACTTGCAGAATGGGTATATCAGAAAATAAGGGAATTAGTATATTACATGTTCTGAACAATAAAAGGACTACTCTTTTATGGCCTAGATTGGATAAAGAAAGAAATAACACTATAAATCTTTATTGAACCAAGAGTTAAAAAAAAAGTAGGCCCAAATGTTCACCATAAAAAGACTCCTAAAGCACAAGAAGTAAAATCAAGAATCAATAAATGGGATGGATTCAAACAAAAAAGCTTCAGAAAAAAAAAAATCAATAATGTGAACAGAGAGCCTACGGAATGGGAAGAAATCTTTACCACGTATACCTCATATAGAGTATTAATCTCCAGTATATATAAAGAACTCAAAAAACTTAACACCAAAAAAACAAATAACTCAATTTAAATAAATGGGCTAAGGAGCTGAACAGGTACTTCGCAGAAGAAGAAATACAATCAATCAACTAATATACACAAAGGTATACGACATCTCTAGCAATTAGAGAAATGAAAATCAGACTACTCTACAATTTCATTTCACTCCAGTCAGAATGGCAATTTTCGATAATACAAGCAACAATAAATATTAGCAAGGATGTGAAAGAAATTGGTTTCAAATTGGTGCAACCATTATGAAAAGTGAAATGGAGATTTCCTCAGAAAACTTGGAATGGAACTACCATTTGACCCAGCTATTACACTCCTCAGTATATACCTAAAGGACTTAAAATTAGCATACTATAGTGACATGACCACATCAATGTTTATAACAGCTCAACTCAAAATAGATAAACTATGAAACCAACCTAGGTATCCTTCAACAGATGAATGGATTAAAAATGTGGTATATTTACACAAGGAATATTGCTCAGTCTTAAAGAAGAATGAAATTATGGCATTTGCCAGTAAATGGATGGAGCTAGAGAATATCATGCAAAGCCAAATAAGCCAATTCCAAAGAACCAAAATCTGAAGGTTTTCTCTGATATATGGATGCTAATTTTCAATGTTGGGGGCAGCAAGGGAAGAATAGAGTTACTTTAGATTAGGTAGAGGGGGTGAAGGGAAGGGAGGGGGTATGAGGGTAGGAAAAATAGTAGCATGAATCAGACATAATTACCCTATGTACACATAGGACAACACAACCAGTGTGATTCTACATCATGTACAACCAAAAGAATGAGAAATTATACTCCATTTATGTATAATATGTCAAAGTGCATTCTACTGTCATACACAACCAATTAGAACAAATTTTTTTAAGTAGAGGGACATGAAATCTCAATGACCAAGTGAAAAGACATGGCTATAAAATAGTAAGAGAGCTTGAACATAGGAAGAACCAGTGGTCAGATTGTCATTCTGGACTTTAATTCTTCAAATTTAGATCAAGTGAAGATGATGTCAAGATCTAGACATGACTGTATATATGGTTTCAGGAGATGAAGACTGAGAAGGTTATTGAAATCAAGGATCAAGGGGCTAAGGGAATATAGCTCAGTAGTAGAGCATTTGCCTGGCAAACATGAGGACCCAGGCTTGATTCCCAGCACCACAGGAAAGA